GACCCCCCCTCTGTCCCCTTCTGTCCTATGGGGGGCACAGCGCTCGGCCGACCCCCCCTCTGTCCTCTTCTGTCCTATGGGGGACAACGGGGGGCACAGCGCTCAGCCGACCCCCCCCCATCTGCTTTTTCCTCCCCTTCCCTGCAGGGTTGACCGACTTCAAACCAGGACATTGGGTGGGGGTCCACTACGATGAGCCCGTGGGGAAACACGACGGCAGGTAGGGGGCGCTGTGTGTCACCAGCTGTCCCCAAACGGCCCCCTGTGTCCTCATAGGGTCCTGTTGGTCCCCAATGTGATGGTAGAGGTGTCCCCAGGGGTCTCCAAAGGTCCCCAAATGGCCCCAGGGGTCTCCAAATGGCTCCCTGGAGTTCTTAATGGCCCCCTGGGGTTCCCAAATGGCCCCCTGTGTCCTCATAGGGTCCTGCTGGCCCCCAGTGGGTTGGCATAGGTGTCCCCAGATGTCCCCAGGGGTCCCCTGAGGTCCCCAAATGGTTCCCTGTGTCCTCGTAGGGTGTCCCTTAGGGTCCCCATATGTCCCCTGGGGTTCTCAAGGGCCCCCTGGGGTCCTCAAATGGCCCCCTGTGTCCTCATAGGGTCTTACTGGCTGCCAGTGGGATGGCAGAGGTGTCCCCAGATGTCCCCAGGGGTCCCCTGAGGTCCCCAAATGGCCCCTGGTGTCCTCATAGGGTCCTGCTGGTCCCCAACGTGATGGCGGAGGTGTCCCCAGGGGTCTCCAAAGGTCCCCAAATGGCTCCTGTGTCTTCATAGGGTCCTACTGGCCCCCAGTGTGATGGCAGAGGTGTCCCCAGATGTCCCCAAAGGTCCCCTGAGGTCCCCAAATGGCCCCCAAGGGTCCTCTGGGGTCCCCAAATGGCCCCCTGGGCTCCTCATAGGGTCCTACTGACCCCCAGAGTGATGGCAGAGGTGTCCCCAAAGGTCCCCTGCTGTCCCCAAGTGCCCATCGGTGCCCCCATAGGTGACCACAAACGGCCACAGGCGTCCCCAAAATGCCCACACGCGTCCCCAAGTGCCCGTAGGGGTCTCCAAACTGCCACAGATGACCCCAACGTGCTGCAGGTGTCCCTGACGGTCCTCAGGGGTCCCCAAATGTCCCCAAATGTCCCCGCAGCGTCGGTGGCCGCCGTTACTTCGAGTGCCCTGAGCCCTACGGAACCTTCGTGCGGCCGCAGCGCGTCACCGTCGGGGATTTCCCTCCAGAGGACGACGGCTTGGATGAGCTGTGAGGGGCAACGTTTGGGGGGGCAAAACACCGGGATTTTGGATCAGCTTCTGCCTCCGCTCCCTTCTTGTCCTGGCGAGCGGCGATTTCGAGTTCCGTGGTTGTTTTCCATCCCCCCAATGCCCCCAAATCAGCCCTTGGCTGGGGCTGATGCTCCCTCCCCAAAAACCCGGCCCCCAAAAAACCTTCATTTCTCACCCCAAAATGGAGCCGTTTGCGGCCCCAAAATCCCCATTTCTGGACCCAAATTGGAGTCTGGGG